GATGAACGTTTAAAAGTTGTACACGTCAAATGTAAGAACAATTTGTTAGCCTGAGGACGGATAGTAAACTATCCGAAACGTAGCTAAAATAAAAGTATTATCAAAAAACCTCTTGTGTGATCCTTGATTTAAATTAAAAACACAAAATTGTTTAGTTATTTTTATGTTATGTTATGTTATGTTAAAATACCTACAATAGAGCGTTTGCACATAACGTCACAGCCGCCATGTTGGTGTTCCAATTCAAAAGAATTTTAATCAGACTCTTTTGTCTGGAAAACCAACTGGCCGCCATGGCTTTTGTTGAATTGGTCCCTGGGGAATGAGTGCAAACGCTCTATATATTATTTTGTATAAAATTACAATGAACAAGACATAATTTACTTTAATGTACAGCACAACTTAAACAATGAAACGACGTAAATAAATTCCCTTGTTATGATTTGTTTGAAAGTCATTTGTTGAGCTTTGATATATTTATTTTTTAATTCCGCTTTCCTCCTGGCATTTTCGCTAGTGTTCTACAGTTCAAAATAATCTAGCATCATGTTTTCTACAGTGTTTATACTGTATTACGATCTTCGTATGTTATCATTTAGGATACTCAAGAGATGTTTTATTCTGGCAAGCGACAGAGATTCTTGATAAACCAGGGGTACAGTTTCAAGGTACGTAATTACTGGAATCTGATGAGTCTATAAAACGTTTGCTCATCCAGAAAACTTAATCAACAAAGATGACGTCCACCAATGGCACGTGCAAACGAAGAACATTTATGGCTTGTTGCTAATCCAAATATTTAGTAATTTGCTCATCCCTGGTACTTGCTCACCCTGGATATTTTAAAGATACTTGCTTACCCGCGATATTTAATGACTTATATATACTGACTCTGAATATATAACGACTATTGCTACATTTTTTAATGACGGTTTTGAAAAATCGATAATAAGATAAAACGAGGATAAAAGAGACCAGATTAAATATTGTTTATTGTTGCATATGAAATGTTAATGCTTTGCTTGGTTGTAAGAAAATAACATTACTTTTTGTAAAATTACTTTTGCAGGTTATAACCAAATTGGCTGGTATGGAAGAGGTGTGCACTTACCTTCTTTTTATAGCTTACTTCATTTGGTGAGATTTTTTGATAAGAAGATTTTGAACTTTCCATTTCGATATTTTAGGAGAATTTAGCTTATGCAACTAAACGAGAACAGCAAGAACTGCTCCAAAAGGTGCAACCTTATCTTCTATTTTTAAACATACAGTTGATTATTACAATCGTGGACAAATTATTTGACAAATTAAAACTTTTTTTGTGGGTCAGTTATAATCAAAGTAAATAATATAGAACTATCAACTACGAGCTCTACATTCCCTCAAATCAATGCTGTTATCAGGCTGCTTTATTTCTCTCGCCATTGCATTGGTCAGGTGAGAGGGAAGAGCATGTAGCGTCCATAAACGTCGAGTTTATTCTTATCAGCAAATAATTCCTAACAATTTTCAAGTCATTTACTCAATAACTAAGTCACAGAACTAGGTAATTGATTTTAGTGAATAATTATCCAATGATTACAAAGAAAAAAATAGGGGTGCACCGGATTTGGAATTTTCAAATCCGGCCGGAACCGGATTTACCGGATTTGGACAAAAATTCCGGCCGGATTTGAGATAAACCGGTAATGGGGACAATTGGGGATAAATCAGTATTCAAAATGGCGGTTTATGTTTTTTACTATTTTTAGTTAGTGTCAGTTTAGATTTTTGATTGTGTTTAAACCTTTTTCAAATATATTTTTGTTAATAACTTAATATTTTATAATAATATAAGTGTTTTTTAAACTTTAAAGCTGCCAAATTGATGGTTTATCCCATTCTTGGTGAATTTTTTAAGGTGAAAACAGAAATTTAGATCCGGCCGGATTTTCTCCAAATCCGGCCGGTTGGCGGATACCGGAAAATTCGTTAAATCCGGCCGAATTTCCGGCCGGATTTGAAATCCGGTGCACCCCTAGAAAAAAACAATGGACACTCCGAAAACGATTTTTCTCAGTGGCCTTTTGGCCAGTGATTACAGATGATTTTGTCATGTGAATTTGTCATTGATGACCATGTCATGTGTTAAACTAGACTATAGACTCACAGTTCGGAATGTTGACTAATCCTACATTTCTAAGTATTAAATTATTCCTTCTTCAAGGTATTGGCGGCAAGTGATATTGACGCAGACGAAGAAGGTGATGGTCAGTCTCGATCATCGTCACAAGTGAGTGTATTTGGTTGTTTTATTTTTTGTTTATTTAGTATATGCCATACACGAGAAGGGAGTGTGCTATAGTTATTTCAAATATCAAAGAGTGTGCCAAAAAACGAAGCCGAATTTTGAAAATTTTGATATGCTTGAAATACCTCGTAAAACTGCGGATAGAAGGGGTACATGCTATATTTTTATCAACTTTGTTGTGTTATCTTATTTGGATAGTGCATAAATAATAGTTAGGGGCTTCGGTGGCCAAGTGGTTAGCGCACTTGCCTTTCACCTCTGAGGCCACAGGTTCAAGCCTCAGTGAGAACTTTCTCAATGCGACTCGAACCCAGTTCTCATGTGAAAAGAGTAAAAGTCAACGCTCTGCCGAAGGTCGTGGGTTTTCCCCAGGTACTCCGGTTTCCTCCCACAGGGAAAATTGACAGGGTGGGTTAGGTAAAAAGGGCCCACAGTAATTGGCATATGCTGTTGTGGTGACCTTGCCCTAGTTGGCAAAGCTAAATAAGTAAATTAAAAAACAAACTTTGTTTATTTCTTGACATTAAATATATAATAACTCGACCTCTCCTTAAAGGCATTTTACTATTATGGGTTTGGTTCCCATGCTGAAAAGTTGATGTTCCAAGTGCAGTAATTTATATTGTTATAGAATTCGAATGCTGTAGTTCGACGAACCGGTTCAATGGCGTCTTTATCAGGAGCAGACAGTATGGTATATCTCGAGTATCGTAAGCCAAATAGAGACAGGCATCCTTTATTTAAGAAACTTCGAAAATAATCCGCAAAGATTTAATTTAACATGTACAGCCAGTATATAGAAACCTGCTATATATTCTCCTGCCAATCGACATTCAGAAATAAACCCACTTGGCTAACACATATAATGCACCCGTTGCTACCCAATTCATATTTTCGGAAAACGTACGCGCCTCGTAGCCTCCTCCGCAGGCCTCTCTATGGGTTCTGGGTTCTAGCCTGCGAATGGGTTTTGAAAAATAAATTTTTCCCACCACCCGACAACATCACTGTTGTGATATACGGTAAGTATGGAATGGAACAAAATTAGCCAGGTCTTAAAATCGTATATGTGGCGGTGGTCTAGGTCTATATCATATCATTATAATCTGTTAATATTTAACTGATCAAAATAACCAACCATTGGCCTTTTAGAATCGTTTAAGGTGGCTTCACTAACATAATTTATTCCGACTTGTTCAAATATGCAAATGAGGTAAACTGATAAGGAAATGTGAAATTATGAAAATAATTATTAAAGGTATAAATCTTGTCAATTCAATACTTTTCACATGACTTTATCCATCTGTGTACGACTCTGTCCATCGTTTCTGTCGCAAAACAGTAAATTCAGAACATTTTTATTTTCTCTGCATGCCTAGGCTTCAGGCTCATTATTTACCTTAAACTTTATACTGAACGAAATTTTGAAGTTAGGAACAACAAACCATAAATTGGTTTAAGAGATAGCCAGTCAAGTATTCCAACCTCGTACCTGGGCTCTCATAACCTCGTACAAACTACTTGAAAAATAGTTTTGGTCATAATGGTGCGGTACTGTGGAACTTCCTTCCTGCCGAGTTACGACAGGCTAGTACTTTACATAAATTCAAGTTTGACTGCAGTAACCTTTAAATATTTTATCAAATATTATTAATTGCACGGCACTCATGGAAAACAGGTAGCTATGTAAATATGTATATACAGGGTGTATAAAAAAAGGTAATCGAACTTCAGCGCGCTATTGTATATGAATTACTCTGCGTATGAAAGCGATTTGTTTCATATTCAGAAAGATCAGGCTTTTAGCTGTTGATTGATGTGTTCTTCATGCGAAATGGATAAAAAATGAGTAAATACGAATCCGATAAAAAATGTTAGTCATGCAGAATCGCATATTTTCACCGTTGAGAGTTGGGTCTAAACCCATTGAAAATTAACCTCCTTTGGTAGGCTACTTGAGTTGATGAATTTCACTTCAATAATTATTATTAAGTAGGAGTAAATTTTAACTAAGCCAGGACAAGTTCGTCATTAATTGCTTTTTCCTTTGTTATGCACTGTTTTATTTAGGCACAGAGGTGAAAATATGCGATTCTGACTAACATTTATTGTCGGACTCGTACTTGCTTATTTTTTCTCCACTTGGCATGAAAAACATGTAATTCAATAGCTAAAAGCCTGATCTTTTCGAATATGAAAAAATTGTTCACACGCCAAGTAATTCACGTGCAATAGCGCGCTGAAGTTCGATTACCTTTTTTTATACACCCTGTATGTATAATTTATTATATGGAATTTTCCTTTGTTCTATTAATTTTATCATAAGTGTGTAAAATCCTGATCGGTCTACCGTGGCTAAATAAAGTTCACTTACTTACTCTCTCTTCTACGCTCCTAGCTCGCTGTAGGAAGAGGAGCGAGCCTGGGTAAGAGGTTGAAAGTATTCAATTACCTTTCACCTAATTGCCATTATCAAAGCAATTTGGATTATGCACATATCAACGGCCTGCCCGGGGGGTACACCCCCGGGACAACCGGGGGGAAACGAGGGGGAATTTGGTATTTTATCCGTGTATTCTGCCCGTGAACCCCGGGGAAATTACAAACTTTGCAATAATAGGACGACGGGGGGAGGGGAAGTAGGGGACTTTGACGTGACAATTTGAATTTTATAAATGAAGTGAACAATTGGTGCGAACTCAAAATCGCAGGCTCACGGAGAAAAATATCGATCGCCAACTTATTATTTATGATATTTTGTAGTGGTCTTGCTAAAATTTGAATAAATAAATACAGAATACATGAGTGCCATTGTGATACCCCAGTTTGCATGATAATTTCAGGGTGTTAGCTGAAAAAAAAGTTTTGTCCGTTAAACGTAAATTGGGAAAAAAATTTTTGACCGATCAAAGTCCTTGTGTAGGAATAAATAGTGTTTTTTCCAACGTGTTTCTGCTTAGATGCAAACAACAGTGGCTTGGTTTTTTCTATTTCATTTCCGGTGAATGAACACGGATGCACACCGATGGCACTTTGTTTTGTGCATTTCATTTCAGTGAATACACACCCAATATGAATGAAACGCGATACATTTTGAGAAAATAGTTAATGGAAAGTAAATAAAACGTTCTTTGATATAATAATATAAAATCAAATGCAATGAACTTTCTCATCAGAAAAAATGAAAATCTTCCAGTAGACCCAGTTGGGAAAGCCCCTTAACTACTTCAATTGGGAAGAGTCCGTCAAACGGACAGTATATTGGCTAGCTAACACCCTGAATTTTTAATTGTTTGTATGCTATTTATATTATGAACTACTTTATTCTAAGCCCCAGGGGGAGGGCAGTTTGACTTACACATTTCCCGGGGGAGGGAGGGGGAATTAATGCATTAGAATCATGTTTTTTCAAAGTCCCGGGGTGTCCCGGGGGTGTACCCCCAGGGCAGGCCGTTGATATGTGCATTACCAGTTGATGTCTCTAAGCGATTCTAGAAGTCTATTATATCCAATATAAAAATCTGAAACTTCTATCAAAGCTAAAAAAGTAATACCTCAAATCATTGTGGTGTATATTCCTTGAAGTGCCACTAACCCCCAAGATGAAAAATTTCGCTGAAAAGCCTTTTAAGGGATGTGAAATTAAAATACAATAACAAAGATGATTTTTGGTATGTGTGGTAAGATTTGGATCATATTTTTGTAGGAAACAAGACGCTCTGTGGAGCGTTAACTCGCTGGGGCTACACAACTGACGCACATTACTGTTATGATCTAAAGGCTGATTTCCACTGGCACTGTTGCGTTTTTCGTACGCACGTATACATGCACGTAAAACTTTGAATCCTTCTATTTTTAAATATTTTACAAATAAGTTAACAAATTCATACTAAAACTTGCGGAGCAGTAAATTCTGTTGCTTTATTTATTTGGTTATTTTACAAATTTAAAGTTTTACGTGCGTATATTAAGCCTGGTGTGGAAATTAAGCCTGGCCCCGAGTAAAAGGTCCCGAGCTAAGGGGAAACTTCCGGCGTTTATGCCACAAGTAAAGTTATATTTTATAGTACGCTACATTCTTCTGTCGGCCGCCAGTTTAAAACGTTCAAAATAAAATATTTTGGGGCTTTTGGGCTCAAAATATTATCAAAATGAAGAGAGAAGTGAGACGAATCCACTGATGTACGGCCGAAAAAGAGAAAACTAATGATACCAAAGTTATCAAGGATCAAACGTACTGCATCTTTTATAATTTGAGCGATTTGTCAACCTGATAATACAATTTCGCTTGGCTTTCAAAGACAAAGTCAGAGGCCATAAATCGCTAGAATACTGTTGTCAGTTGTTTAGTAATACATTTGACATCCGTAGCTACAATTTCTCATCCGTAAGTACAATTTCTTACGCTGAATCGAACGGTGGTATTTTTATTCTTTAATATTGCGCCATTAATTAGGCAATACAAATACAAGGTCAAGGACAAACGTACTGCGAGTGATTTGATGTCAACAATTAATACAATTTCGCTTGATTTTCAAAGGCCATAAATCGCTAGAATACTGCTGTTTAGTAATACATTTGACATCTGTAAGTACAATTTCTTATGCTGAATCGAACGGTGGTATTTTTATCCTTATTGCGCCATTTATAAGAGACATAATATAATATCATGTTTCGCACTGAGTACACTACAGACAGTTTTCCCGGACTGTTGTTCGATAAATTTTATATTGATATGACACCAATATGCTTCTCATAAAGTAGTTATAATTTAAGCTGCACAATGTAGTTTTAATAAATAACATTTTACCTTGAAATTGTCTTTGGCTCCTTTATGTTCAGATTCAGTATATTATGATCGTGCACGGGAATTCAACGATCCAAATTTCGGATTTTCAGAGTCGTGGCGTCGCCGCGGCCGTGCACCAAGAAAAACGCATTAAATAAACTAGTATGAATGTCCAGAGTTAGACACAAAACAAAATCCATAGAAAACAGGTACAATTCGGCCAAAATTTTTACGAAATCGTGCCCGGAATTGTTTGAAACATTTTGCCCACTCTACGAAAGGCCCCGCCATTTTGAAAAGGATCAAGCAGCTCATTAATATTCTATTTTGTGGCTATCAACGACGATCGGAACTGACATCCACCATGCGTGCCGAAACCTATACGCACAGTGCCCCAGCGAGTAAAAATCTCGTCTTTGTCGAATTTTTCACCGTACAAGGTGAATTGCGAAGTACTTTCCCTTTTGTGTTTTGCTGCTAAAATAATCAAGGCCGGATTTTGGTGGAAATAGTGGGGGAAGTGGAAAAAAAATTAGGGGGGGGGGGTGCAGTGGTCTAGCTCACGACCCCCATGGAAAATAGTAGGGCTTAGAACGAGCCAAAGTCAACGACGTGTGACGTATGCATGTAGTGTACATATGTATATCAGTGTATTAATGAATCATGACTGTACAACGCATCGAGTAGGTCAGGACATGTCCATGAAAATGTTGCTATTAAATTCTTCCGATATGCCATGGCTTCGACGAAAAATTCTAAAAGATTAAGCTCTCGTTGCATGTAGAAAAGTATAGCGAAGTTACATGTATAAACGTTTCGAAGTTTAGGCGAACTGGAAATTCATATCGGCGCAATTAAAAGTTTCTCGGGTTTTATTTGTGTTGTGTTTACATTCAAAAGTCAGAAGTCGTTGCTCAAACAGCAAGTTAGTTTACTTTGAAACTAATATTTCGCTTTCTAAGCCACTGACAGTATTATATCAAATTTTCTGTCTTCTGAGTTCTGTTGTCTTAAAGATATATATCTGTCAAAAGTTCAAATTCCAGCGAAATATATTCTGCATTTGATGCTATCGCCACTAGATTAATACAGTATGCCCTCGAGTATGCCATCCTGCAGTCTACGTTTTAAATATAACCGAACATCTTTAATATCCGAATCTGATAATTAATGGCGCATTTTATTTCCAAGTATCAATGTCTTTAAATTCAATTTATGTGCAATTTTGACAAAAATTCAACCGACGACTTCTTTCAAAATATAAAAATATTTATATACTATTTATTCCGCCCGTAAATCACTTTCCGAAATATAGAAGGTTCGCTGTGATTGGTCGATCGGAGGGAATGGAATGTGCAGCTCGTTTCAGCAGACGTTAGTTAGCGAGGGTTAGAGCTATAAGAACGTCTGCGAGGGAGACTATCCAAACACGGAAGACTATCGTGTTATTTTATAAAACAATTACTTTATGGTTTCCCTGTTAGGATGGCCTGATCCAAACACGCGGGAATGTTGCTCGAGTTAAGAAAAGCGCGCAAAATCACTCGCCTTCGGCTTGTGCTTTCGCGCGCTTTTCTTAACTCTCGCAACATTCCCGCGTGTTTGGATCAGGCCATCATAAAGTAATTGTATATACTCATAAAGTAATTGTATATACTCATACCAAAAAATCGTATTTGGCGTTGGTGGCCAACTTTAAAAATTCGAAATCCAGTTTATCAGCCTTATATCCAGGCGCGTGTTGGTTCTGAATGTGCGCAGGGTGATTCTGAATGTGCGCAGGGTGATTCAGGAGGTGTGGCTGATTTTTGTCCTTGGCAGAAAGCACTATGACAACACTGTAAAAACAGATTGGTTAAAACAACCAATAAATTGGTTATCTCATATTCAAAATGAATCTGAGATAAATCAGATTCAAAATGAATCTGAGATAACCAATTCCTACCCTTTTGATAAATTTATTACAAAGGGGTAGAATCGATATATGGGCGGCAGAGAAAAAGGATAAAATATGGATGGCGGAATAAAAGGATATAATGTAGAGGACACCCAAGAGCAGAAGGATATCAATGCGATTTTTATGGTGAGTGATAATGACTTGTAATGACTCTCAGTATTTCATTAATTTGCCCCATGTGTACATGTTGTGCATATATTATATATTTCACAATATTCTAAGAAAGAAACGTAGGCGTAAAAGTTGCCTGACATCATGACATCATAATCATTATTGATAGATGAATTGATAGAAGGAACACATCTCGTATACAGAGTACAAACTCGTGGGAATAAAGTCAGTCTTAAAACGTCAATCTATAATAAATACATTATAGAACTATTTACCAGTATTTTTGGGATTCATTCTTCAGTTAAGATACATCGAAAACTTCTCACTCTGCTGCATCGGCAATTTGAATTTAATGAAACAAACTGTCACTCAATTTTCTCCAACTATACACAATATCTCAAGATCAATGTCATGACAAGATACACTATACCGAGGCGAGCAGGCCTAGCAAATTGTCCGTTCTTAAAGTAGAATCTGCCTGACTAAACACTGAGCCCCCCCCCCCCCGTCTCGTACGTCTATACATGGAAAGAAATAAACATACCAACAGCAAGGCCAAGTAGAAACCTTAATTGTTTTTTAATTAACAGCCCTATATATAGTGATACAATATTTTTTATTTATCATGTATAGGATAATACACGTGTAGGTTGTTACATATTATATTTACAAAAAACTATATGTACTAAAAAAGTAAAAAAGAAAGTTATCATCTTTATACCTCTATACTTTGTTGGAAATTATTGTACATTACATATAGTACTATAATTATATACCATGCAGTATCGGATATACGCTGTATAATTTAATGTGGTGAAAATAAAGAAACGAACCTTGAGTTACTTCTGATGTGAATACAGCCTTCATTTTCTCCTCCCATGGATTCTGCGGGAGAAAATAGTTAAATCATGTTAGAAAATACACGAGATTATTTTGAGAAGATGGAGGGAAGGCAAACAAAAGATCAAAACAACGAGTTACGTGCAGGCAGTCCTCTGCATGGAGACCCTGACAACACAACATTTTCCTGTTTTTAAATAATTTTTCCACAAACATTTTTAAGGAGAAATTCTACTTTTTTCCAGCATGCTCCTTCCCTACACTAGATGGACAACTGAAAATTTTGGAAACTTTCAACAGTAATTAGAGAAGGGGAAGGAGAGACGATATGTTGTTCCTAAAATAAATACTTTAGAATGGTTAGATATCCTAAGACATTTGGTTATATATGTTTGGGCTTACTGCCATGACGAGACCGACGATCAGAGCCTGCTATTGTTATTTTCCTGTGCAAATAACCTATCGTGTTCATAATGTCTACCAAAACTATTCCTATATACTATTAGCATCGGTGTTGTATTGGATTGGAACACAGGCTAATGTACTGTATACTTAACGCTTTCTCTACGTTTAGTGTTGAGGTACATTCATTGGTACAGGGACCTTGAGCATGCATGCATGTAGGACAGCAACGCGACGACGACGGCCAAAACAAATCCATGAAATAAAGTTTGGTAAAAAATCTTTGAGTTCTACGCTAATTGGGACTTGAAATACAGGCGCTGTACATAAGGTGTGCAAATCTGTTTTTACCGTTATAAACAGAGCGAGGACATCGTCTAAAACTATATTTGCTGTCGTTGCAATGGCAATTCATGCAGTAGTCTTATTTAAATCATCCTCGTAGCAAAGTATTACATACTCTAGATGCATGTTTATGAATTATGGATTATAAATGACTAAACAATATATAATAATAACACTTACCACGTAAACCAATGCATTCCTCCCAAAGTGTATTTTTCAAATCCGGGAACTGATGATAAAGACAGTCGTGTTTCACCGGAGTCATGTTCTCATCCAAACTTACAAACTCGTTTGGTCGTGATGTTTCCAATTGTTTTGTGTTCAACAATTCTTTCCTTTCCTCATGATCTTTAAGCAATGTCCGCAGGTGATCAATCCACTTCACTGCCAAATGTAAAATCTCAAATTTTGATATATCAATTTGAGCAAGTGGCAAAGTATTTTTGAGTTGTACAAAAGCACGGTTTACTCCCTGAATGCGGCGTCTCTCTCGAGCATTTGCAGCGCGACGTTGTCTGCTTACACCAGTCAACATTCGCTTCTTACGACGTTTACATTTGCGACTTTCATCATCCTGCTTCTCGTTTGTCTCCGAACTTTCATCACTGGGTGGTTCAAAATTGACCGTTTCAAGACTGACAGCAGCACATTCGCAATTGCAGTTCGCCATTTTGATCACTATAATTTTGTATAGCTCGTATATCCAGTCGTATTGTACTGACAATTGAGCTCCTCCTGTAAATGCAACAGAACACCACGTAAAACTATTATTAATATTAAGGTTAAAATTCAACCCTGCTAGAAAATTGTATAATTGTGCGTGCAAGTAGCAGGCTACACTCACATTTATACTTTGCCTTCATTCACTGAAATTTTCTATCAGAAGCTGTTAGTTTTGTTGATGAGTGAAAGTTATAGAAGTGAAAGTTGTAGAATAATTAGAACAAATCAAATTATCTTTTCCCAGACAGGGAAATATAAATGCGCTCCCAATTTGCTAAGATAAAAATCATGATGTAACTTATTTAAAAATAGCGTGCAGTTAATTAGTATGTACAGGTTGAACATAAGAGGGAAAGGAAGATAAGATAAGTTCTTGGATATTGTGCAACACATTAATATGCTGCGTTTATTAATTTTACCATTCTAATTTTATTCTATTTTGCATTCTATTTTGTTTTCGCAATTTCTGCGCGCATTTTGCGCAACATTTGTTAAACAGTAGTCGGCATCTCTTTCAATAAATAGCGCGTGAATCGCTTATTTTCTGGTTATAGAACGTGGGTGGTGCTGACACAAAACAATAAGAATCGAAAAATAAGTTGCCTGATAGCTATGTGACGAAGGTTCAAGAAGATTTACTTTCAATATTCGTAACGTTGGCATAAGAGCATATGATTGCATGCCTGTATGTAATAATAGTAAAGTGATGCGTTGGTGCATGGTGTATTAGCGCGAAATAAAGTATAGTAGCCTAAATTCTCTTGTCAATATGCATGTTTATATGATGGGTTCATAAAGTAAGAAAATCTGTTTGTTAGCTCATAGACAGACTCGTTTTACTCAATTTTCATGGTACAACAAATTAAATAACTGTAGATGATAAAACCAGTCTGTGCTTGCATGAGCAGCCTTGCGTATAACCTGTAACTTGCAGTCATGTTTGTAAATGACCATGTGACGTATAGATTAGCAAGATGAGTATGTCTAAACGCATGACAAAGTGTTATGACAAAGTACGCGCGAGTGGAGTAATGCCTCGTAGGAAGCAGGATTCTTGAACTGATCGAAGTATGAAACCATCGAATGGCTCTCTGATTTCCGCAAAACTAAGAAAAAGACCATTTTGTCGTCTTCAAAAACGATACTACCAGTATGAGCTGTAAATAAAGTAATTCGCAACAGTTGCGTCTAACTCAATTCAGCTGAGGTTTCCCACGTTTACAGTGCAATATATGTTCTATACCTCAAAGACGTATTATATCATACACAGATAATTACATGATGTATAATTGGCTACTATTGGCTATTTTTATCGCACTCTATATAAGTTTCTCGCTTATCTCTGAAAAAATCTACCGTGTCTAACCCCGTTAAATGCGTTTAAAGATAACGTAGTGATATAAGCAAACTACATATATTGGTATATTATAAGTTCTAGTTATTATATGCAAAAGCATGCAAGTTTTCATTCGGGTAACCTTTATTAGGCTGCGATATGAGGCCCCGTTTACATGAGACCGGAACGAAGTCAAACCGGGACCATTTCGTTTCGGTCATAGTAATATTTATAATAGATGTCTACACGAGACTGGGACGAAAATAACTCAGACCAGTCTCAAGTCATTCCGCCTGCTGGACCCAGCCGACTGACTTCAGACCGGCATGAATTCAGACCGGAATGAATGTAACACAAATACATTTCAGACCGGTCTCGGTTGTAACCTTGACATTGGAACAACACATGATAACCGAAGCCATCTGAAAAAGAAAATTGCCTGGAAAGGGGAATAAATTGAAAATTTCAATTTTCATTCCGGTTTGATTTCGTCCCGGTCTCATGTAAACATACCCTGGATCAGGGGGTTTCCTGTTTCGCTGAAGCTGTAGCCTGCACTCAGGCGGCGCTGGCCAAGAGTTAAATGCGTAAGGTGCAAGATTGGTGATACAAAAAACAATATGTGTGAAATAATATAATATACACTAGGAGTAACTATCGCAAGGAAAGTGCTGCCTCACACCCAAGGGATCAAAGGCAGCATGCAGAATTTGCTGAATAAGGGACTGTTTATATGATCCTGCTTTGCCAGGACGAGATGTGAGGCTGGATTATTTTGATGTAATATATGAACAACGAGAGCGAGTGTTTCACCGGGATGTGTTTGGATATCCCGGTGAGACACAAGCTCGAGTTGTTTATATGGCTTCTGAAATGAATTGAGACATAACAGAATGTTTTTTAAAAGTACATTTTCACTCCTTGTATATAAAATATAAAGACATTATTGACATCATGAAGTCATATGTTTCAATACCTCTGTAGACCGTATCGAGTGCTAAACAGCAGATCTAAATACATTAAATGCCTTTATGTATATCACCAGAAAGAAATAAAGCCATTCTTACCTGATTTATTCTTTGATATTGTCGAATGTCAGTCGTTTGCAATCCAACATATAAACTCGTATGGCGTGCTGTTCATGTGTAGTACTAAATAGAGAATAATACATGAGTGCGCGGAAATACCAGATTTATTTCGAGTGTTGAACATGATATCTCACGAGTGAGCGCAGCGAACGAGTGAGATATCATGTTCAACACGAGAAATAAATCTGGTATTTCCAAGCACCCATGTATTTTTCTGTTTATTATATAAACAAAATTCAGTGGAAAACAATAAAACGTCCGTGGCAATGCGTTTTACAACAAATGATATTTTCACACGTAAAAATATCGTATTTTTTGCGTGTGTTTAAATACGATTTTCAGTCAGTGGCCAAAAACTCTATATAACACTTATGTTTATATAATAAATAAAGTTTGACCGCCCCCCTCGTTTAAAAAAACTTCCTGAAGCTTAATTATTCCTCCCGGAATGCATCTTTACAGACAGACAGACAGACAGACAGACAGACAGGCAGGCAGGCAGGCAGGCAGGCAGGCAGGCAGACAGACAGACAGACAGACAGACAGACAGACAGACAGACAGACAGACAGACAGACAGACAGACAGACAGACAGACAGACAGACAGACAGACAGACAGACAGACAGACAGACAGACAGACAGACAGACAGACAGACACAAATCGAGATCTCGACAATACATAGATTGTGCGAAAGACTGGGTCGAGTGGACTCTGGAGAAACCACCGCGTGTCAAGAATAGTGTGCTGCCTCGCTACGCTCGGCAGCAATAAAGCAATGTGTAAAATAATAATGTTAAAACAATATGCATAACGACAGCCTTAACGGTAAATGGTTCTCTCGTGATGTAGTCATCACTCATCAAGGCCACCATCGGGAAGTTCAATTACTTGAGCGAAAGAAAATGCAAAAAAAACCCATTTCGTCCGGGTATATAGAGCATAAAGTGAAACAAATCACATACGCAAATGATAATACAGCGTTTGGTTATTTCGAGGGTTGCGCAAAAGATTAAAAATGTTCAGATGATGTGATTGGCTATCTAGAGTAGTAACTATATGATTGCTTTATATTACCAAATAGATGACGAATGATTGCCCGAACATCGTAAACTTGTGTAATTGAGGAACGCTTTATTTAACCAGACTCCCGCGTAATCTGAACATCATGAAAGATTTAGCGACAGTAATAAAATTTCTCCTTCAAAATGTTCAAGACTTGCACGTATAGCAATCGCGCAGAGACAAATATTGATTGGTTTGAAGTTTGACGTTGGCGAGTTGATTGTTAACGATTACCAGTTGAGATTACTTCTATTAATATAGTAACAATTTTGACCTTTCTAGCATTTATTTCATCATGTTATAATTTGCCTCCTTATCAGTTTCTTATCTTTTGAACATCATATGCCGCCCGTGCAGACCTTGTAGCTCGCTCTTGTGGGACTTTTAGATTCCCCTGAGTAACATTTTAAACTTCCATGCCAGAAATTTATCCTTCCTTTGAAGAACTTTCTATGTATTATTATATTATGTTGGCCAGTGAGATGAACGAAATACTTCTGCACAAGGACAAGTCACAATTATATATGTATATTTATCACCATGCAAACCAATAAGGAACCCATATATTGTGCATTTCCCAGTTTTTTTCCCAGTCAAATGAGTATACCAGCAACTTCTGTTTTCTAAATCAGGACTTACTATCACCTTGCCATCATCATCATCATGCACATCATCATCTGAGGCTCCTCCGCAGGCGGCATGTAGTAAAACACTGACTACCGGAACACCGGAACACCACCATTTTGTTTGGGGTTGGGGTTAGGGTTTGGGGTTGGGGTTAGGGTTGGGGGTTAGGGTTGGGGGTTAGGGTTGGGGGTTAGGGTTGGGGGTTAGGGTTGGGGATTAGGGTTGGGGTTAGGGTTAGGTGGTGTTCCGGTAGTGTTCCGGTGTTCCGGTAGTCAGTGTTTTACTACATGCCGACATAAATAACGATTTTTACAACGTCAACAACTGGTTAATAGCAAACAAGCTTACTTTAAATGTAAAAAAAACTGAATTTATGCTAATAGCTTCTAAACGATAATTGAAACAATTCTCGTACGACCCATGTATACTGATAGGTGACAAATAAGAAAGTATACTGGGAATTACTTTAGACGATGAACTGAGATGGCATAAACACAATGATCTTCAATGCAAAAAACTATCCAAGAGCATTATTGCCTTACTAGGACGAGCCAAACGATTCGTTAACCAAAACGTATTATAATTAACATGTACAACTCACTAGTTGACGGCAGTCGTATACGCATACAGACAAGCTTGTAAAAATGCAAAAACGAGCGGCTCGAATTATCACAGGGTCAACTTACGAAGTAAGATCGAAAAGATATGTTTAATATTTTACACGGGGAACCAATTGAAACCACTCTTAAGAAAAGAGAAATGATAATGACATTTAAGGCCTTACAAGGCCATGCAGCTGCCAGAATTCGTGACCAATATCTTTAAAATTTGCT